TCTGCACTATCTTTAAAATATTGATTTTTTAATTTTGGGTTGGAAAAGTGGGGGTCGTCTTATTGTTGGAAAAATACGGTAAGTGATCAATCAGTTGTTAGTCTTAAAAATTTGGGAGTTATCTTTATGCAATATCCACCTTGACATGACCTAAGATATCTTTTATGCAGATTTAGTTGTGAAAGCATCATTCTCATATATATTTGTGTGCATGTGTGTATATACGTATACGTATGTTTTTTTTTCCAGGGTTTGTCAATGAGACAGATTAGATTCAGATTTGATGGGCAACCAATTAATGAAACAGATACACCTGCACAGGTAAGAGTCTTGTTTCATATGTAGATAACTTTGAGCTTGTGTCTGTTTATTTTGGGAATTCTGCAAATACTGAAAAATAGACATCATTTCTAGATCATAAAGTTCCTGGCTGAATTGTGGTTTTCCTATCCAATTCTAATAAGGTGGGGAAAGGAAAGAATCTGTAATAATTATTTCCAACTCTGTCCATATGTAGCTTGGAAGGGAGCATGAATTAAATACATCTAAGAGACTTTAAACTCTTATTCTATAAGAAATATATGAATTGGGCATATAGAGGTATGTTAACAAAGTATGTACATCTGAACTTGAGGAACTGGGAAAATCCTGGTTTTCAAATCAGTGTGTTGCAGAATTTTATTTTTTTTAACAAATGATTTTTGTTCACTTTTTGTGTTAAGTAAATACAAAAACAAAAAGAATACACAAAATCATAAAGAGAAAAACAAAACAAAAAGTCAAAAACATACAGGGCATATATTTACAGACATACATGCATATATAAAGTTGTACAGTAAGCATTTCTATGAATGGAAACCATAATTTCTTGCAGTCATCCTTAGCTAATCTATATTGGTCAGTTCTGCAGACCATTGAATAGTTGGAGCCATATGTTTGTTTTTCCAATGCTGAACACCTTTTAATCTATTTTAAGCTGCTTTTTTTATTTCAGGTATGAAAATCAAAGTCTTTAACGTTATTACAGGATTTAAAAAACAGACTAGAGAAATTAAATTTCAGGAGCTGGTCTCAGAGTGGCTGAAATATATTCATTTAGTCTTGTATCAGAAATAATTGTAATATTTATATTCTGTGTGTTTATAGTTGTAGATTTAAATTTTGATTTGGATCATTAGCCAGTAATTGCCTCTGGTCACATTTAACCAATCTTTTGCTAAGGTCCAATGGCATACATAAAGTAGTTGGGAAAGAAAGGGGATTGTATGGACATCTAGGTTTTGCAGAATATGCATCAGTGAATTGCTATTGTTTTCAGCAAAAGCAGTGAGAATGAAACTCCTTCCCTTCTTCCACAATTTATTTGTGAAAAAAGAAGGATAGCTTCTATCTCATGAGTTGGGTTTCTGCTGAAAGTACCAGCTGCACCTCTTTGGAGAATGTAATGCAAATGGGAATGAACAGAAACCACTTCCCCCCAAGTTCCCATAGAGCTATATGGAGTATCTGTATTAAGAGTTTGCCTAATGTATTCTCCAAGACATATTTTAGGCATGGGAGTATTGGAAAACAAGCACTGAAAAACTATGTCGAAAAATATAGGAAAGAAATATGAAATATTTCCTAATACGGCATTTTAATTTTAAACAATATACAAAATGGATAAGAAAGGCATTAATATATATTTGTTATAATTCCTGTACATGAGGAAAAGCTATGCAGCACAGCTTTTTTTTTCTCCGGAAGTCATTCTCATTTTCCATCTCTCATGATACAGTATTCTCTAAGCAGGCAGAAAAGGTTGGATGTTGAAATAAGAGACAAATTAGTTGTTTGGCCTTTCTGAGTGATAAGTGCTTGAATGGACAAGTATACTTGGGAAACCCCCCCCCCCATATGTAGTGCTTCTTGATTTTTAAGAACAGCAAGGAGCTTTGTTCCAATTTTGAAGATCTACTTCTACTTTATATCCAGTGGGCATGTTAGCAAAGTTTATTATGCAGCAATCTGAATTGTAGATAACAGTTTAAGTATTGCCTCAAAATGTGAAGGCTATGGATTTGTCTCATAATTCGTGAAAATGTATTTGAGTGTGAAACCATAATATCTGGGAAATTTTTGTAGCATTTAAAATATCATGCAATATGCAACTTACTTATAAGAAGTTATAAAAATCAAATTACCATAACATTTTTTAACATTTGTCATTTGTGTTTTAACAGTTGGAAATGGAAGATGAAGATACTATTGATGTGTTTCAACAGCAAACTGGTGGCATGTGCTAAATGTCCTTTTCGTTTCGGAGGAGGAATGCAAAATGTCACCCACTTCATCATCTGTCCTTGGATTTGCTATTAAATAGTAAACAAACGAACATGCCAATCATACAGGAATCTTCTCATGTTCTGAGGACACTTATCCAAATCCTTTTCCTGTCCCTGATATACTGCGTGTGCAACTTGAAGCTGTATTTGTGGAAAATAACTTCATGAAAAAGGGCCCAGTAAAAAATTAAATTTTCAAATAAGTAAATACTGGCTGTTGTCTACTGTCATCTTGTTCTTCTAAAATGGTGACCTAAATACCAACCTACTGTAAAATGAAGATACTTAGTCCTGCCTTTAGTTGTTTTTGTTTTACTGCTTAATTATGATAATGTAAATATTGAAATAGTTTTTCTTTGCAGTAGTATTTTTTTCTTAAAAGATGTTTGGGAAAGAAGAAAAGAATTTTATCATAAACACAATTATTACTCTAAAACTGTTAACGGGATATATGGAAAGAGCAATACTTGCAGAATGCTGATTATAGTGGCAGTTAAGGGTAATGCAAATGTACATGTGCTTTTTCATAATAAAATAGTATAGAATCAATTTTTAAATGGGAAGTCATTGAGTTTGTCAGCAACTACACTATTTGCATACATTATATTCCACATTTACTATAAAGTTCACATATCCAGGGTGGAGTACCAGAGTATTTGATAATTTTTTAAAATAATTGACCAGGATGTTTTAAGAAGCTCTGCTGGGCAGCTTGTGTTAATTCAGTGGGACTTGTGCAGGAGAAATTCTCAGCAGATAATTCTTACAAAAAGCATTATTGATTTATTGGACAATAAATGCTATGTACCTTTTTTGTTAAAAGCTAACTTTATAGGCTCATTGTTTTTATAGTCTAGTCTGGGATTCAAATAGCTGTGTATTGTATTCTGCCTATGCATTAGGATTTTATTGCTTCCCTTTCATTGCAACCACTGTTTGGGGAACCCAGTGGAGCAGAATGCAATACAAGAGGAATGTAGCCAACAGTGAATTCAGTATCCCATTCCTGAGTATTTGTGAAGTCTTTTGCTTATGCACAGGGCTCTTTAAATTTCAGCCATCAATTCATAATTCTTTTATTGTCTTCTCTTCAAATTTCAATATTTGTGGTCAAGTTAAAGTGCAAGTGTACCATTGGGAAAATATTGAATGCAAAGGTCCTGTTTCCCAAATACTTTACATTTAAAGGAATTTTAGTAGTCACGTGTGATTTGGATGCATCTAAATCAAATTTATTTTGTTGACTTTTTGTAAGCTTTTTCATTGCTGCTTGGGAAAGTCAATTTCTGCCTTTTATATCTATATCGGTTTGTAAGAAACCCTGTTGAGAAGACTGGCTATCTTTACCTATTTCCTACAATTGTAAATGGTCCAGGAAGAGATATTCCTTTAAAACTGTTAATTGTTTATTCAATTGTATAATACTTGTCCTTTATTATTGTATACAGTAAACATAATTTGGTACTCTGTCTTGGCTTATGTTTAATGCTGCTGAATTTCATATGACTATTCAAAGCTGTATCACTGAAATGCTGACAATTTATTCATATGTACATCTTTATTAAAATTCTTTTATTGAGAGTGGACCTAATATTTAGGGTATAAATGTATCTAGCATAGAACCACAATTTTAATAACATTGGTCCATCTTGAAGGTTCTATATTTGTTACTTTGTAGCAGGTGCTCATCTGTTATTTCCTTACTGTCCTAAAACCTTGGTCTAATCATTTTGTATTTTAGAAAGAAATGTTTATTATAAAAGCAGAGAAAATCTTGATAATTAATTAAAGAGCAAGGCCATATTTTACATTCAGTTTTCCAGAAACTGTTGGGTACTGAATACACTGAATCTGTTCCTTATGTTCTTAAATTTTATATGTCCAGGTCAGTCTTGCTGGCATATTTTCTAAATTTAATTAATATTTGATGCCAATAATTTATGGTCTGTTCCAAAATTTGTACTTGGAAGTGTCCTTGGGTGACTAGATTGCATATCTCCATGTTCTGTTTTGTATTATGTAATCTATTTGATTCTATCTGGTGATGTCCAAATAGATTGATTTAATTTATACCCTGCTTTTCTCCAGGAGCTCAAGGTGACTTCACTGGAGCTAATTCATTTAACCCAACAATAACCTGATAAACTAGAGAAAGTGACTGAATATTCCATGGGTTTCCATGGTTGAGGGTAGATTCAAATTTGGGTTTCCCCATTAACCACTACACTACTTCTTAATTCATGTTACTTGAAATAGACATTAGCAATTAAAGAATTATCTTTGCAAAACAAACCCTGAACCTATTTCTTGTGTTCCTTGGTTCATGCTACTCACAATTGTATGTATTTGTAAAGTGGCCGTCTCCAAAAGTGACGGGATGGCGTACAAGGGTTTAAAGTAACAGTTCAACAAAAACCAAATCACCAAGGCAATAAATACATTCCAACGTTAACCTGCAGAGGTTGCCTTGTATGGCTCAAATGCCTGGGGAACAGCCAGGTGTCTAATGTCTTCAGAAAGGTGTGTCTCTGGGATCCCACAAGATTACAATGTTTGATGGAAGGGACATGGAGCATGACCTCCATCCTAGATCTGGTGGGGTGAGCAGAGACAATGGGAGATAGGTGGTCCCACAAATGTCTGGCTATATGCCGTGCAAGGACCATCAGCACCTATAATCACACTTGGAAGCCAGTGCATTTGCAGAGCAGTGGTGATATATGAGGGTAACAAGAAATGGCCAAAACAGCCCATGACACTGCATTTTGTATCAATTAACTTCCAAATATTCTTCCAAGACAGCCCCATGTAGAGTGCATTACAGTAATCCAAACAGGAAGTGGTCCAGGAGGGGGTGCAATTGGTGTACAATACAAACCTGTGTAAAGGCCCTCCTAACTGTGGCTGCCAGCTGCTCCAAGTTGTGCACTAACCAACTGGAGAAGTCCCCCCACCTCCCCAAGCAGAGATGGAAAGTCTCTGGATCCAGCAGTCTTAAATCCCACACCCACTCAGTCTTGCCAAGGTTGAACTGAAGTCTGTTTTCCATACAACCCCCCCCCCCCCCCCCCCCC